CGAGCGCACGCCCCCTTTAGCGAAAACCTCTCCAAAAAAAAAAAAAAAAAAGAATTATTTATTTCCATTTATTATTATGTTTTAATTTGACCAGAGAGAAACAGAGAGAGAGAGAAAGCAAGCCACCAGGTCCAGGACTCGAACTGCAGTCAGCCATGTGGGAATCCAGTGCCATTAAACACCACACACCTTCTGGCCCCTCATTCATTTATTTTAATTTGACCAGAGAAAGATAGACACACAGACAGAAGGAAAGTGAGAAAACAAGCCACCAGGTCTGGGACTCAAACCCTGGTCAGCTATGTGGGAGTGTGCACGCCTTAACCACCACGCCACCTGCTGGCCCTTTTCTCCTTTTAAGACAGAGTGTCACCATGTGGAGATCCTCCTGCCTCAGCTAGGACTCCAGGCATGTGTCAGCAGGACCCAGATCTTTGTTTTGTTTTTTGTAAAGACAGGTCTTGCTCTGTTGCAGCCCCCTCTTCCCACACTCCTGAGTTGCTGGGATTATAGGCATACACCACCATACCTGGCTTTTAGGCTGGACCAGGAATTGAACCCAAGCCTCCCATGTGATCTCAGCCTGCAAAGAATAGCACCTTGGCAGCACATGCCACCATGACTTGGTCAGTTAAACCTTTTTATTTTATTATATTTAAGATTTTTGGGGGGGAGAGGTTTTTGCTATAGGGAGCGTGTATTCCAGAAAGACAAGAGAGAAAGCGAGAAACCACTCCCCCCCCCCAGCAGGGATAACCATGCCACAATCCCTCCTCCTCCATTCTCCTCTCGGGATCTTGGACACACACGCACACGCGCCCGGTATGAGTTTAAGCCACTGGGTCCAGGACTTGAATTGCAGTCGATTACATGGGAGTCCAGTGACATAGCCATTACGCCAACTGCTGGTCCCAAGAATTATTTTTTATTTAATTTTATTTATTGTCATTTTATTTATTTATTTATGCGAAGTTGACCAGAGAGAAACAGAGAAAGAAGGAAAGTGAGAAAGCAAGCTGCCAGGTCCAGGACTTGAACCATGGTCGGCTGTGTGGGAGTCCAGCTGCCTTAACCACCACACCTCCTGCTGGCCCCCAGTTATACCTTTTTAACCTTGTAAC